TTTTTAACTCTCTTATGGGGACTATATAATAGTTTATTTATTTATTTCGAAATACTTTTGGAAGAATTCTTTGTTTATTTACTTAATAACTACTACGTGCAACAAAGAGAAATTATTATACGTTATATAGATTAATGATGTAATAACTAATACATATATATAATATATATGCTTATAGAATATAATATGTGCATTGATAATTATGAATTGAAAACATTTTTATATAATTCTGCCCACAATGGAACTCTGTCTCCTAATAAATGTACGTCCATTTTCAAATCTTGATTGATGTGAATATATTTGCATACCTCTCTATTTTTTGGTTCCCAATTGATAGTAATGTCTTCGTCTAGCTTAGAAGTTGGATTTCTGGAAAAGAAAATTAGGTAAAATTATTAGATGATTAGGAAACAGAGGCAGACCGTTAACTTTAAGGGCCTTGGACTAATACTGTTTGGGAGCCTATCCAAAAAACACAAATTAACCCAAGTTCAATTAAGTTGTTGCGACTCATTTGCCATCTTGTCGAAAAATTGTTTTTTATCCTTTTTTATTTATTCTTAGTCTTTCTTCAATATTTCTTATTCGCTTTTGAAACATTAAGAATACTGTAAAAAAAAGGTGCCGGAACGTCGTTTCAATGCATTATACCATAAAAAAAAGCACTGACCATACCTAAATCCGCTTCTATTAAGAAATCAATATTTCGTATTAAGTATAAAACTTACCCATCTTTAGCAAAATTCGTCCATAATTTAGTAATAATCCGCGTCATTTTTTCTTCGGGCGAACCAGATTTAGGTAAATTTTTGAAAATGTTCGAATAAAATTCGTAACCTAATTCATCTCCATGGGCTATACCTAAAAATTGAAAGATACATTTATTTAATATTAATGTGTGTGTGTTTTACTTTGAAATAATTTATAATTGTAATTTTATAACTTGTTTAATTATTGCATACCCTTCTCAGAGTTAACCACATTTTTCATGATACCAAATGGAGCTTCATATTCGAATATGTATTGATAAACCGGTGCTGTATTTCTGTGAGTTATAAAATTTAGAGAAAATGCAGCTCCAGCAGTAAAATAAGCATCAGTCAACATCTAGAAAGTAAAAAATGTTATCAAACAATGTCCACTTTAGAAAATTTTCTATAAAATTACAAATTAACAAATAATTACCTGCGTGAATTCTTTTAGGGTATTCTTGGAAATGTCTTTACCATGAAAATAGAATTCCTTCATAGATTCGCCTAATTGTTTTCTTTGAGTAGGATCGGTTACGTTTAGATCATCAGGTAAGAATATTTCAAACTGATTATTGAAATGTTCAGCATGTGGCAACATTACTAAATACAACAATTAAATATCAGTTAAATTCATTCTGTTAGAAATTTATTATCATATATTTACACAATATTGTATTATTAAAGATAATATTTATCATATACATACATTCTGCAAAGAAACTAGCTTCTTCTAACGTAACACCACCCATAATCGGTACATCAGCAATTTTTCCAGTTTTCACAAGAGTCCAAGGGTCAGTTGTTAAGAATATGTCCTGACCAAAATCATATTCCACTGATGGTACAAATGCTTGTAAATGTCCATTCGCTGTATTCTATAATATAAAAAATAGAAATTAATTAAAATTAAAGATTTACAAAATTATATGTCTAGTCTATTTCCGGTCATGATCGGAATAACACAGATTTCAATCTAACATAATAATAATTATTGTTAATTTTTTCCTTTTTCATTATTTTTATTTTTCATCATTTTATTTTCCGAACAATGCGAATTTTAATTGACAATAGGATAATTACAATATCGTTCATCATCTCTTTAGTCGCTGTAACTATGTCTCTTGCAGAAAATTCAGCGAGTTTGTTGACCAATTCACCGGTATCCTGGGTACGAATTCCAAGTTTCTCACCCAATTTAAAAGCCATTTCTTTGGGTTTGTATTCTATTGCCCATGGATTGAGTATTGTTCCACTTTGAGCAATAACATTGTTGAACAATCCTAAATGTAAGAAAATTTTCTTGATATTTCAATTATGATATTATCTTTTTCAATATTACCTTCTGACATCAGAGACATCATGTGATACTGAACAGAAGCACCACCTGAACTTTGACCAAATATGGTGACTCTGTTTGGACATCCTCCAAAGTAATGTATATTATCTTTCACCCACATAAGTGCCATTACTTGATCCTTCATACCACCGTTTCCAGGAGCATGTTCATCGCCAGTATTTAAGAAACCTAATAATTAAAAAAACATACCTAACCCATTTCTTCGTTTTCATTGATTTCATGAAATATATTTACCAAGAGCGCCGAGTCTGTAATTGAAAGTAACGACAACGACGTCCTGTTCGACGAGAAAATCTGGCCCATAAATGGCATCATCTCCAAATCCTGCGTTCCAGGCACCACCATGAATCCAAACCATTACAGCTTTACGAGCATCTTTGTTCATTTCTGGAGTGTAGACGTTAAGATAGAGACAATCCTCATCACCCAAAAGATCTTGTTTAAGCATACAAAAGAATGGACAGGTTGAACGATGTTTGGTAGCATCATAAACACCTTCCCAAGAATCAGCAGGCTCTGGCATCTTTTAAAATACAATTTAATCCAATTGATTGAAACGTTCAAAACTTGATCAATAAGTCTCTTAGCTTGCTGTTTATTTTCTCTTTCATTACCCTGAACTTGTCAACACCAACATTAGGCTTTGCATATGGTATTCCCTTGAAACTATAATACGGCATATTATGCCATACTGTTTGTGTTTTTAAACCCTTCAGTGGACCCTGTGGAATTTCCACTTGAACCTCTTCCTCAGCAGTAACCCAGGCAAACGCCACCAAAGCAGAGATCACCAACTCGATCAGCGACATGTTGACCGTCTGAAATAATCCTCCCATCAGACTGAACGTTTATAGCTTCTGTCTGGTATCTGTAGCCATCTAGAGAAAAAAAAAATAATAAAATTAACCGTACTGCATGACATTGCACAATCAAAGGCGTGCATAGGCCGCATAATAACACGCTACGTATTTTGCTTTACCGAGGAAGAATATTAAATCAAAAGCATTTTATTTTATTTTTTTTTTCAAAATCTCTCTCATTATCTATCTAAATTACGATGTGAATTGTTAGAATGAATTATGAGCGTCGGATTTCCTGGCTTACTGCTCTGAGCATGCATCTTTCTGAACAATTTGTTTGTAAATTCGATTCTTCCGGCTTTTTTCATTCAATTTTTGTCCTTTTCTATCTTTCTCGAAAAAATTGTCAAAATTATAAAATTCTCGTTCTCTATGTTCGATTTTCCAAAGTTGACAATCATTTCATTAAAAAAAAATTATTTTCTAATTAATAAAAGGATGCGTAAAAAGATATGATTTAGGATAACCGACACGATGATGATTATATGAGCGATCAACAGAGCGAGCAGAAAACAAGTCACGTAACAAATTAGAGTCGCATTACATATTATTTTAAAAGGAATCATATCCTTTGGCATAAAGGCATAAGAAAAATTCCATAATAAAATTGCATGCATATCTATATATACGTATAAATACATCTCTCGTCAATTCGATAGACACGAGATATCATTTTATTTTATTTTTTTAACTACAAAATCGAAAATGATTTGGAAAAATGTCATTGGAGCTCTTTTCGTGACACCAACACACACGCGCGCGCGCACACATATAGGTATGGAAAATTTCATAGCAATAATTCTAAAAAACAAATCGACGATCTTTTCCCATGATTTACATTTTTCTTTTGTTTTTACTTTTTAAAAAGTATTATTTTTTTGTTAATTCATTTCCGTCCATATCTCAGCTCTGTACAAAAGATTAATATCCTTGATGCTTTATAAAAGTGTTTCTCATTTTGCGGGTCCAGAAATGTTAATAAAACATTTCTACGACCTCCCAAATTTAGTTACGCGACACCATTTTAGGTCGCGATCCAAAATTATGTTAAAAAAGCCCTGCTCTGTAACAGCATTCTCCAACCTAAATGATCGTGTTAAATTTTTAATGAACCACTAGAAATGAAAACTGCTACTTTATGTTAAATCGTGAAGAGTAATTAATTTGTAAGAAATTTACCGAGAATTTTCGTAAAATGCTTTTACGAGTTTTTACAAAAACACCACAGTAATAGCTGTATATTTAAAATAAATTATAGTAACATTAATTTACAAGGTTCTTGAAAATTCAATATTATTAAAATTTAGGGTGTAGTATTTATAATTACAAACAAATGTTTAAGGTATTATGACAAAAAGTTTGAGAAACGCTATCTTATAAAAATGATCTATGAATCATAAGTACATGTGTGAATCTTGCATTAAAAATTATTAAACAAACTTTATCTCGTTCTCGTAAATTTTCTGATAATGATATTAACGCACGGATGGCGTTGAGATATGAAAAAAAAGGTTACAGAAAGTTTCAAACTGTCTTTAATTAAGTACTTCACGCTAATTATGAACATTTATATCCAGTTACATAATCCGTAATTCTATTATACCCACAAGTATTCGAATTTATACTTAATCTTCTGTAACATCTTCTATTCGATGTTGAAATTCAAATCGAAATCATAATTGTTGAAATCATTTACTTTAAAATGTAATAATATTAATAATAATATAATATTCGATAATATATATGTTATATTAAATATCCTATAACATGCGAGTATTATAAAAGTTATAAATAACCTTATTACATCAAGTTCTAACCAGGGGGCGTAGCTCAGATGGTAGAGCGCTCGCTTAGCATGCGAGAGGTACCGGGATCGATGCCCGGCGCCTCCAAGAGTTTTTTTTTATATCCTTTAGAGGATTTTTTTTCTTTCTCTATAATTTATATTCTTTTTTTTCTAAAGAAAATAATTAAATAATTAGAATTGAATGAAATTATTAAATGTATAACACATCATTGATATTGTTACAGGTGTAACAAAGTTACAGAAAATTCCAGAATTATCATTTTACAATTACAATGGTGCTAAGAGATCTTATTGTCCTCTCAGACAACACATCGAGAATCAACCTGTTAACAGAAAGGATACATCTTTGAGATTAAGACAATTGAGATCTGAAATGGTCCGAATTTCATCAGTTGAAACAGCACCACTTCATGGTTACATTGTAACATCGGACGACGAACATCAGGTAACATAAATTAAAATTACTCATGTAATATACGTTGGAAGTATCGCAATAGTCAAATTAATAATAACACATTTCGAAGCTTCATTAAATTTCCAACGTTCTTTTTGCAATATTTCATTTATTAAAAAGTAATTAAAACGAAATGAATTGTTTTAATTAACCAAATTATGCCTTTGTTTCGATATAAACAAAATTTTAATATAACACAGATAAAAAAAATAAAAATCAAATGCAGTGGCCTAAGCATACTAAAATGATCAATTGTATTAAAAATATTATCTGTTTATTTAAAATATATAATACTATATACTTAATCGTCTGTTGTTTATTAGAGCGAAACTGTCGATCCACGAGATATGAGAAGAGAATTTTTATCTGGATTTTACGGCAGTGCTGGAGACGCAGTCGTAACATGGGGAAAAGCTGCTCTGTGGACAGATGGAAGATATCATTTACAAGCAGATTTAGAACTTGATTGCAATTGGATACTAATGAAAAAAGGACGAAAACCCGTGAGTAAATCTTATTTATATCTCATAAATGTCACATTTCGATATAGTATGACTTTATTCACACATATTTATATATAAATTATATAAAAAATTATATGACAAAAAGAAGATTAAAAAATGATTAAAAAGAATTATAAAATATATATAGTATAAATTAATATTAAATATATATATTTTTTGTGTTGTTTGTTACTTTTTCTATTTTCATCATTTCTACGTAAGCTTATGGATGCGTTACTTAACATATACTCAAATATAGCTACATCGAATGCAGGGAGAATTAATTGGTCAACCGAACACTAGATGGCTAAATTCCAAGACTCATTCTCAACAGCGAAACGTTTTCATGAATAGTATATCTATACGACAAATGCACAAGCTATTTAAGATCATACTTCACAGGATCATTTCTGTAGTTAGTCTTCAAAACTGCTTAGCGTAAAGCTGAGACGGTGCAACCACGATGAGGAGATGGAACCCTCTTCCTTGAGCGTGAGGACGACTTATAGTCTTGAATTTTCTTCAAGCTGTAGTCACCGATGATCGTTCGCTTCTCTTACTCTGTAAGAGGAGTTATGGGAAGATGGGTTGTCTGAGTGGTAATTTTTAAGAATTAAATATTATGTTAACTGTACCGCCATAAGGAACGTTTTTATTACACCCTGGAAAAGTATAGACCACTTTACGAGCAACGTAAACAAATACACTTAAAAATATAGGTCGGATGATTAAATAGTGAGACACTAAATTCGCTCCGAACATAGCAATTGTAAACTAGGCTCAGCACACTTAGCGGAAAGGATTGAAATTAAATAACTATTATTTGAATATTGATACACAACACACACAATATTATTCTCACTATTTTGTTAAAAGAAACACGCAATGTGTAATTTTATGTCCTTGGAAAACTGTAAATGCTATTCAATTACTTTAACTCAAGTTGTTGGCAAACTAAAATTCCTCTTATTTCCCTTCAACTTTTAATAGTTTTTTAACCTGCGCTTACTGCTTTAGATTCCGTCAATTACTGAATGGTTGAAACATGAATTTCAAAATCGACGTAACATTCAAATAGGTGCAGATCCGAAATTAGTATCTGCAGCTACATGGGAAGTTTGGGAAAGGGACTTAGGTAATAAAGCTTCAGTTCTCAATTTAATAAATAAATAAAACTATTCTTATTGTGTATGTTTCTTATCTTAAATAACTCAAACGATTCTACGAAAATATATCAAATTTCCTTAACTCAAAATTCAACGTGTTTATATTCAGCAAATACATCTATAAGTTTGGTGGCAGTACGTAAAAATCTGATAGATTTGATCTGGCAAGTAGGACGGCCAAATTACAATTCTTATGCAGCATACCCATTGAAAGACGAATATGCAGGAAAAACGTGGCAAGAAAAAATAAAGGAAATCAGATTAGAGATGAGTCTTGCCAAGGCGGATGCATTTGTGGTTACAGCATTGGATGAAATAGCTTGGCTCTTCAATATTCGAGGATACGATCTCCCTCATACTCCTGTTCTTAGATCCTACGCGATCGTTACACACGGATCTCTTCATCTTTATGCACCTAAACATAAGCTTCTGCGATCTGTTGATAAGCATTTAAAAATGGACTCTTGTTCTCACGCTGAATGCGTTAAGTACGATGATATATTTACGTTATATTATAATTGTTACAAATAATAATGTTAAATATATTAAATAAATAATATTTTAGATGGCATAATGAAACATGTATCTGGAATGATTTAAGGACAATGTCTCAAGCGTGGAACAAAGTTTGGCTACCAACGCCATGTGGGTATGCAGAAGGAGCATCAAAAGAAATATATTCTTCTGTACGTTTTTATTCTACAAATTTATTCTAATATTAATAGTTACGTATATATAGATATTTCAAAATTATAAAGAGAAAGAGATGAGAAATCTGAATCTGTGTTGAAAAAGAGATTTAGATTGGATGATACTAGACAAAGGTACACCTTCTTTGACATGTTACCCTAACACTAGAGAGTTGCTTGAGCTTACAATTAGCTTGATCCTGACGTAATAGATTAATTACACACGCCATAGATAAAGGTTAAAAATGGAAACGTATGTTTAGTCTATCCACATGGTATGTAATACTTATTTACCACATTAAAAATTAAAAAGAAACATACAAATATTGAACCAAAGAATGATACGTAGATTCCATCTATATTCTTTGATGTAAACTTCAGCATTTTATAGAGTTCACACTTTCTCGATCTTATAATATCCGGAGTCATGAGACGCCTTATCGTCCATGGTATTAGGAATTGCATAGGGTTTATCTATGTGTCCGAGTTTCCTTATTAATTCCTATTCCTATAGTTCTTTAATATTGTTTTTAAAAAATATTACGGATATATATAATTTTATTATCATTCAGATTCCAGCTGAAAAACGATTACCGAAAGCCTCGCCCATCATTGATCTAAGAGCAATAAAAAATAAAGTTGAAGCCGAAGGCATGAGAAGAGCTCATATCAGAGATGGCATGGCTATGTGTGATTTTCTTGCTTACATGGAAGAACAAATTTCTTTAGATTCCAAGGGATGGGATGAGATGCAAGTTTCCAGAGTAGTAAACGAGTTTCGTTTTGAACAAGAACTTCATAAAGATATTTCGTTTGCAACGATTGCTGCTTATGGTGCTCATGCTGCATTACCTCATTACGAGCCAATTAATTTGACGAATATACCCATTGGAAAAACTTCGACATTGGTCGTCGATTCGGGTGGACAGTACTTAGGTAAACTTTATATAATATTTATTTTTATAACAATACATGTTGATCTATTACATATACATATAAAGATATATTAATAAATTTTCTAATCTACTTGTAGATGGTACAACAGATGTAACAAGAACGTTACACTTTGGAGAACCTACTGAAGAACAAAAAAAGGCATACACGAGTGTATTAATTGGATCAATACAATTGTCTTCTTTAATTTTTCCAGACGATTTAATGTCTGATCAGGTTGATGTATTAGCAAGGAAACCTCTTTGGAGTACTGGTAATGACTACATGCATGGTACCGGTCATGGAATTGGACACTTTTCATCTGTTCACGAATGTGTGTTAAATTTTTAATAATTTTGTATTTAACATGTAAAAGATTAGTTTAAACAATCTTCTTACTAAATGAATTTCTTTTTTAGCTCCAATTAGTATATCGTATACAGGTGGTATGTCTGTTACATTAAAACCAGGATATTTTTTATCCAATGAACCAGGATTTTATAAGAAGGGTGATTTTGGTGTACGTTTGGAAAATATACTTGAAGTTGTAACTACTAACATATCGGTAGGAGTCTTCTATATTTTTCTATTCATTGTTATTTTATTATATTATTTTATTATTTTATTATTTCAATAGAAAACAGGACAAACTTTCTTAAAATTTCGGGACGTAACTCTTGTACCATACGAACCTAAGTTAATAGATTATAATATGTTAACACCAATGCACGTAAGTTCTTCTGCCGAAATAGTTAATATTTTCATGGAATTCTTATAAGAACATTTATTCTTCGGGTTAAGGCAATGATATTTCTAACAGTCCTGCTGTAGTGTCCTTTTATCAGTGATATACTTATAATGATATGCAGCGCCGGTGGTTAAATAAATACAATCAACGGATCAGAGAGGAGATCGGCAACGAATTAAAAAAACATTTAAGAATGAAAGGCTTTTATTGGATGATGGACAAGACAAAAGACATTCCTGAATGGGGTAAAGTCAACGAGGACATTCTTCTCGCACATTCTAATTCTTCCACATTCAAAGAGATTCCTGTGCTAGTGACCATTATTATTATCTACAATATTATTTTAAGTATGTGAATATATCTAAATTTAATAATCTTTTTATTATATTTATTTATTAAGACTTTTATATTTTTTTTCACTTATTAATTGTTACTTAATCTTTTATGTTTCAGATTTTGCAATGACTTACAGTTAATGCAAAGATTCATTTGTTATTCGACTTAAAAAAAAATCCTTAAATAATAAAAAATAAAATATACATTCTATTGAATTAAAAAAAAAATAATAAATACTTTCATTTATAACTAGAATGCATATAAAATGGATTTATTACTAGCACGATGTTCATTTGCGTCGATAATTATAACGTAACAAATTGTGTACACAGATGATAGTACAATGATTGATAAAGTAAATTATATATTTCTAATCAAATGGTATTAATGATTATAATTATGATAGATATGTTAAAACAAAAAAAATTGAAATCTATATATAGGCCCATAATTATGAAAGTGGTCTAAGTCAAAATTAAAAAAAATGAGTTTATCAGTTATTTCACACCACATTATTTTAAACTAAATGAATTCAATGTAATTTTCACCATATTGTCAAAAATGAACCGTTAAATAATGTTTGTTATTTCAATATTATATAGAATTAATATAAAATATTATATAGTGTTCAAATGTAATCTTTTAAATATCTCGGAACAAAAGATATATGACTTATGTTAGACTACTTTCATAATTACGGGCACATATTGTATGTGTTTCATATGTAAAGAGTGCAAGAGCAATTAGACTGAATTTAAAAAGAATTTTTATCAGTTTATAAATATCTTTGTGACTATTTAAATAATTTTTAGAAAACTATGTTTATATATATATATAAGTATTACTATAATTTTACTGTGATACATAATTGCAATAAATATATGAATACGTAGAATATATGTAAATATTTTTTTTTGCACCTATATCTCATAAAATATAATTTACATTTACCTTCTGTATCCTATACAGTATTTATATATATATATATTTATATATATCTGATAAATCCATTTTGAATAGAAAGTGCTTGAATATTTGTATTTTTTTTATGTTCACTGAAAAAACAAATATGATATATACTTAAAATTATATAACTTTGATTATAATTGCAAACAATTATATTTAAACGCACTCATACCTATCATTTTTACAAATCACACACAATGTACGTTTCGATACAATTTTATTGTATAATATACATTTCAGTAATGTGTGCTATGTAATTTTTTTATTTCAGTAATTTATTTCTTATTTCATTAAGTTCATTCGATTCCTTCTCTTCTTGATATTTTTGTAATTCTTCTTGTGTTAATTGTTGTGTAGAACTTTTACCATCATCACGTTTAGGTAATATCAACTGATATAGCTTATAATATTCTAATAATTTGTCTATAAAACATAAAAATATAATATCAATGAAAAATGTGAAACAATTAATTTAGAATTTTGTATTTGTAATAAGAAATTTGTCTTACCTACTGTTTCTTTGTCTAATTTATATTTTTTTGCTAAAATATCAGAAGTATTTTTTACAGAATCTTCTTTATACAAAATAAAAAGTTGAAATATATCTTTCAAAGTTATTTTTCCTATTGGAACTGAGTCCGGTATATAAAATCCAAATTCAAAGTGTTCGGTGATTCTTGATACTGGTAACGGTCTATCAGGATTAGGTTGATTCAGTGTATCCGTCTAAATAATTTCCAATAATTAGTAACATTAACTTTTTCATGCTAAAATATAGTATAACTGTTAATAAATATACTTCTGGTCCTGTGGATGTTACATAAACATTCTTTAAATGTTCATCGAGTTTTAAATTCTTTTCATTATGACCCTTCAAGAATTCTGGATTTACTAAAAAATAGAATGAATTTTTTTTAATTGCGGTACGAACAGTAGTGTATCTGAAACATAGATAGAATCAATAAATCTATTTGTTTGAATTAACCTACATTCCTGAGCTAATTGCAATTGCTTTATTGAGGCAGCAGGTTTAGGGGCAGGTATTGGTTTACTTCTTGAAAGAACAGCATTTGCACGATTTTCTATGTTAAATTTACGCAGTGGTCGTTTTAATTTAGCTATCAATCCTCCCATCTTTTTCTATCTACAATCAATCGAATAAAGAAAGTATAGTAATAATGTAAAGCATTTTTTTAAAAAAAGAAACATATAAAACTTATTGTCTTTTCTATTATATAAATGAAAAATGTATTTTATATTTCGACAAAAAAAATTATGGGTTAAAGTTAAAAACACAATTTCTTAAATGAATTCGTAACTACATGTTATTACTAACTTTGTATTTATTTCATAGAATTGTCTTTAACACGTGCTCTACAATCGGATACAATGTGTAAAATAATTGTTATTTTATGATATAAGCAATGATTAAGAATTTCTACAAGAAAAAAACTCAGATATAATTCAACGTTATTTAACCTGTTTTATTTAACCAATAATATCTTTTAAGTTAACCTTATTTTTTATAATACATATCTTTTTGATTGATTAATTCTATTAAGCCACACTTACAAGTACATGGATTTTATTCGTTAGTACAAAGGCCGTTTACAATTTTTCAACCAATCATCGTCTAGCTGTTCGAGAGCAATGAAAAGTGTGTTTACGTACGCAGTGACGCAGGAAAAGATAGTTTCTGAGCGCACTGTGAAATTACTCGGTGTGAATGATTCTGAAGACGCGGCGGTTAGCAACATACCGTATGTTTCTAAGTCCCGTTATTTGTCTTTATCGAAATTATTGTTTTCTTAAAACATGCTCGAGTGTAGTACAACTTGATGATAAAAAGGCGTAAGAAAACTTTATGGAAAAAAATAATCAACAAAGAAGGTATTCACTCTTTTCGGGTTGTACGCTTAACCGCCAAAAATTATAGATAGAAACGCCATCTTGTGTACAGATATGTTGACATTTTAGCATCGTTCAAGTTTACTAATCATCTTTTTTACAATATTATGCATTAATTAATGCATATTTTTTTACATAAATTAATAAATATGTATGTGATGTTATATCTGTGTGTGAATATGTGATATCGTTACGTTGATGACAATTAATGTTATTCAATCAACAAATGCAGTATTGTACTGTTTTCATTGAGTGCACAGCAACAAGATGACACGTTTTCCTATAATTGTTTAGATTCTTAAAACATTTAGTTCTTAGAAATAACGCCAATGTTATTGAAATTCGTTTTAGGTTAATATAAAGATACAATCATGTTTTACGCACACTTTGTATTGGCCAAAAAGGGGCCATTAGCCCGAATTTGGCTAGCTGCTCATTGGGATAAAAAGTTAACGAAGGCTCATGTTTTTGAAACCAATATTGAAAAATCTGTAGATGGCATTTTACAACCAAAGGTATTTTTATTTGTATTATGTTTACATAAACATGTATTACGATTAAGATTTTCTATTATGACCAATGTATAATTAATTAATGTTTTAATCTTTCAATATTTCAGGTCAAAATGGCATTGCGTACATCAGGTCATTTACTCTTAGGAGTGGTACGCATATATTCACGCAAAGCAAAATATTTGCTTGCTGATTGTAATGAAGCTTTTGTTAAAATCAAAATGGCATTTCGGCCAGGAATGGTCGATTTACCAGAAGAACATAGAGAAGCAGCTGTTACGGCTATTACATTACCAGAAGTGTTTCATGATTTTGATACCGCTATGCCTGAATTGAAGTAAATATTAACATCACCAAAGTGAATATTAATGTACATATCATTTTCACATCATTTATATTATTATATTATTTAGGGATGTTGATATTGAGGCACAATTTAGTTTAAATCAATCTAGAGCAGAAGAAATTACAATGAGAGAAGATTACGGTAGTCTTTCTTTAGTAACGCATGATCAAGGATTTGGAGATATGAGTTTTGATGCAGAGCCGCCTGAATTACTTCGTCACGCTGGCTCTATAGAACCATCTTTAGATCAGGTTTACTATTCATTTTTATAATACCAATAAAGTTATATGTTATATAATATTTATTTATCATAAATATTTGTTCCTCTATATAATGAAATAAATTAAACCAAATCTAGAGCCATATGCTATTCAGTGATGGGCCAGGTATAGAAACAGCTCTGGAACAAAAAGAGAAAGAACCAGTTGCAGGAACATCGGCAGCTCCACAACCTATGGATATAGACACCCCAATTAGAGATGATGGTTTTGGTGGTCATCTTGGTCAAGATATTATATGTATGTATTCTAATATTTCGTGAAATAAAATATTAACACGATTATCAAATAAAATTGTTTATAGCTGGAGGCCTATTTGAAGGAGGATTATTCGATGAAGCTCCAATGGGTGAAGTTCCTGTACCTGAAGTTAGTTCAATCGCAGAACAACAAGAAGCTGTAGCAGCACCAGGAACTGCAGTTTCTGTTCATGATGAATCTGAGGAAGATATGGGTGATCATTTTGGACCAGCTGCATCTCCAATGGGAGCAATGAGGTACTTGTTTATTATAGAGTATCTAGTAATGAATACTTAAAATAATTAATGTTTCTCTTTTAGTTCTGATGGTTCAAGACCAGCTACTCCAGCAGTAATAGGAGAGGAAATTGAAGGAAGAATTAGTGTTGCTAGTCGTCGCTTTACACCTGCTCCTCCAACTGCTCCTGAAGAACATCCAATGGATACAGCAGAAGAACCACAACCTATGCAAGATCAGACTACATTATTACATGATGAAGAGGAGAGTTTTGCTCTTGCACCTGTAGATGCTTCAGCACTCAAAGGTTAATAATAATAAAATAAATCATTTATTATTTAGTATTATATATATTGAATATATATTAATTATATATTTTATTATAGGATTTACAAAAGCTAAAAGAAAACGTAAACTTATCGTGGACGAAGTAAAAAATATTTCTGGAGAAGAAATGAAAGCACAACTTTCTGATACTAGTGACATCGTAACAACATTAGATTTAGCACCGCCAACAAAACGTTTGATGCATTGGAAAGAAACTGGTGGAGTAGAGAAACTCTTTGCTTTACCAGGAAGGGCAATACCTTCTCGTTCATTGTTTAAGGTAAAATGATAAACTATTATAAAACGAGTAATTATAATAATTTGTGTATTGACATATATACATATATATGAAAAATATTTGTATTATGTAGAATTATCAAAGACATTTAACGAGCAAATCTTACGACCATGAAGACTTTGGAAGATTAGGAGTAGAAGAAGAAGGATTATCCTTGGAACAAATGAGAGATAACACTGAACCTGATGCAGCTGCCTTTGAACAAAGTATTCTTAATAAAAGGATGGCTCGCAAACGAAAAGCTCCACCAGAAGAAGAGGTTTGTTATTACTTTTCTTTTCCCCCTTTTTTTCTTATTGTTATCTTATTTTATTTATCTCTTATTATCTCTTCTATATAGCCACGACCAGCACCCCCACAATCAATACCAGCAGTTGAAATTAGTCAACCTTTAATTACCGCAGAAACAGTTGAAGTTCCAAGCATACCTCCTCAAACTGTTTCTTCTGCCGAATCCCCAGTTCCTCCTGAAGTAACATTACCAGCAGAATCATCCGTACCAGAAATTAGTGGTATTGTACCTTCAGTTGAAAGTACAGAAGTTCCTGTAACTCAACCAGAGACTCCTTCATTGGGTTTAGAAATGCCTCAAATACCTCCAGCTGAAGTTAGCTCCATTCTTGGAGCAGCTGAAGAAGAAGCTGTACCACCTACACCTGCAGCACCCGTTAAAGTCCCTGCCATGTCACCTTCTACAATGCCACAAATGGAGAATATTGGCTACGATCAGGTATAGTATCACTAATTTATTCAATTATATTATTTTAATCATATAAGAAAAAACTAATGATAAACTATGATATATGTCTACAGGCTCAATCACAAGTATCGTACGTAGGCTATGATGAACAGCATCCACCCGCTCATACGCCTGGTGCTATTTCTGAAAGAGGACCAGCGACACCATGGAATCATGAAGATTATGAATTTCCTCCATCAGTAGGACCAGTAAGTGTTTTATATTTTATATTTCTTTAGAATTTCATTAATTTCATTTTTTTTATGTATATAGCAAGAAGAACAGCAAGTTGATGAAACTTACGAGCAATTCGAAGAACGTGTGCTCAATAAAAGAGCAGCGCATATGTATCATGTAATTAAAAGTAAACTGGATACCAAAGACAAATTATCACTATCAGAGATGGCATATAAAAATAATCGTAAACAAGTATGTAAATATATATATATATATATACGGTTACTAATTTAATTTTTCATTAAGATTTTTTATAAAGTGTCATTATCATCTCTTTTTACAGGTTGCACAAAAGTTCTATACCCTCTTAGTATTGAAAAAATTCCAAGTGTTAGAATTGAATCAAGAACAACCCTATGCCGAAATCGTAGTTACTAAAGGACCAAAATTCGAGAACCCTGCATTATAAAAGTATTATGTACTTTCAATTAACACATCTTGTCTGAAAACACTTTTAATGAAGGAACAAGAATATGTCATCTCAAACTGTAAAAGAGGTGTAAAAGTATATTATCTACAATTGTGTGTAGATGAACTGTAAAAAGTGTATGCAGATATCTAGCATGTTGTCAAGATTCTGTAATATCCTGGGAGAACTTGAAATGTGTATAATGTTCGACAAATCATGTTTTAACTTTGTAAATAATTGAAGAAATTACTTTGCATGATGTAAATCATTGAATAAGAGAAAAAAAAAAGAAAAAAAATATCTTTCAATTACAGCACATAATAAATTCATAAAAATGTTAATTAACACATTAACAGCCGGCCCCGCGAAAACGCGGGTTTCTGAGCTATTCAGTGATCAGAAACAAGTGAATAAGACCGGCGTTCGGCCTTAAATGTCTTTTAGGTCGCCGGCTGTCAATGTGTTAAATATGCCTTAAGAAGGTAAAGCGTTTATCGAACTTGGGTCGTCACTTATAAAAATCAATTGTGCCAATAAGTATCATCATATTATTCATTTACTTTCATTAATAATCATTGTTAAAAACTTAATGACACAATTGATAAAGGGAAATAATATAAGACGGAGATCCAAGTTCATATTCTAAATAAAATCCATTTTATTATAATTTCTTATCGGCATTTCTTCGTACTTTAAAAACAATAATGATTCAAAGTTCCAGGAAATGATGCAGAAAGAAGGCAAAATGTGATAACGCTAATAACTTTTTGCAGTATTTGCCAATTTTCGCTTAAATTTTCAAAATATGTTTTTTTTGAATTAGTTTGGAAAATTAGGTTTTGTTTTTTCTCTATCTATATTTATATCTATAAATGCTTAACGCTCAAAACAATAATCAAGAAATATATGAGTTTTATTTATAGTATCTACATTTTTAGCGGTAGCACATACCAATGAAGGAGAACATAAAAAATTTCTTTATTTAAAAAAGAATTTTCTCTATAAATAAATAAGTTTAGATATATATCGATTAATATAAACAAAAAATTATTTAAATTGTTTTCAAATTTATGTAATATTAAATCTATTGATCAATTCGAAATGCTATATATCGAAAAGAAAATATCAAAACATTCTAACTTTTCACTTTTATATTAAATTTTTCTTTTTTAGATGAGATTATTTTTCTAAATCATGTTTATTGTATAAGACTTATATTGCTATAAAACATAATTATCACAGATCTACATGAAATATTATTTTTTAGACACAAAAAACAATATGTTACATTTTAGTTTAATTAATATACTGACATTATGAGGAAAAAAGGATGAAAGAAAAAAAAAGGAAATAAAAATTATTTACTAATTTATTATTGTGTTAATATTTTGTGTAATACAAGAGAATGTTATATTCTAACGAAAAAAAAAATATATTTTACCAAAACAACGTATAAATGCTAATTTGTTAAATATGATCATAACATGCCATTGTAAATAAACATAAATTGTAATTAAAATAAGAATATCACTATATTCATGGATACACACAGATTATGCCTGAAACAAATTTTTTAAACTGAGTATAAATCAACTGCCACAGCCTGATTCAAACAATGTAGTGTAAATAATTCATTAATAATATATATATTATATTAAATGTCTGCTAAAAAACAAATATTTCTTTAATGATCTTTTCATAATTTATCGATATTAATATTAAAATATATTCTTTTATATTATATTATTAATAATATATAAAATACAGAGTGCTCAGCAAAACTGATGATACAAACGAGCAGGAGATGATTTTACATGGGGAACTAAGTCGAAAGTTTAAAATAAAATTTGTTTATACAAGACTTTGTTTTCAAGAAAAATAAGTTTGGAAACTTATCAAGTAATTTATCGACATAAGAAAGTTTATTGACATTCTAATTTTTAAGTGCATTTGCAACGTTTTAATTACTTTTTTAAAGATGACATCAGAGGCGGCATATAATAATTGCAAACAGGTATATTAGGGGTTTCACCTCGGAATGAGAGATAGTCGGCTATAAACTTGTATAAACCTTTATTTCAACACCCTAAAACTTGTCTCAAAACCTACTTATCGTAGGG